GATATGTTTCTAGACTGAACATAATGTTAAGATGAAATTCGTGCTAATTCTTTCACGGTATTATTTATTTAAATATTAAGGATTTACTTCTTATTCATTTTATTATAAAATCCTAAAAATGTTTAAGTTTTCGCCCTACTTTGACTTTCAGCCATTGCATGACAGTATAGTCCACGATAAGAACTATGACAACAAACAAACTTAATAAATACGAAAGGATTAATTAAATTTGCTGCACAAATATGTAAATGGTAAATTAATAGTGCACCAAGTCAGAGATCCTAAGGGTTCTGATACAGACAACCCATATTATGAACTATTGACCAGAAGGAATGTAGTCAGATAGTGAAACCTATCACCTCATGGACTTTGTCCAGTTCATTCATCCAATAAAAAAGGGATTTAGTATCAGTTGTATAATGTATCTATAGGTGTAAGTGTGGAACACGTTCAGCAGTATCACAACTTGAACTCTAGACTCTTCAATGTGGAGTCTGACATGTTAACCATTAGGCTAAATAAAGGCAGCTGGTAGAAAAGTTACTGGTGTATATTCAAAGACATTTTAAAAGACGTAAAAAATCACGTATGAACGACTTAAAGAAATCATCAGTTTCTATTCTAGAGGTAGCTGGAGTTATGAGAGAGAGAAAAAAAAACTTGGATTATTACTTTATAACCATATTTGGATTATGACAGAATTATTTTCACACTTGTAATGATTAAACAGTTCTTAACATTAACTCGAGGAGCTCATGACATAAAAATCTTGTTAATTGGTACAGACAAACAGTGCAATGTAAGAAAGTACCATTATTTGTGTATGTGTGTGTCTGTTTAGTAGATGTTTATCAGGGTGAACTCTATGAATGGAAGTTTGTTGGTCTCAGATGTTCTGTAATGGAAGGTTTAATATCTTTACTGTCAACAGAATCAATACTGTAATACAAGTATCATTATTCTTTACCTACTTAGAACTTAGTACAAGGTTAATAAACAATCAGTTGATCAAAATGTCTCAGATTAATAGTAGTTTATCTCACTATACATTTTTATTGGCTATCTTAACGTGTTTCATTATTTGACGGTGAAACAGCCCACGTTCCCCATCTTATAGGACTGTCAAAGGCACCTGATTTCATCCTTACAGGACGACAAGTTTCAGTGAAAGAAACATTCGAGATAGAACTCGCTGATCGGCTTGTTGCATGTGGCACTTATAACTTAAGCTAGATCTGTTTGATTTATGCAGAATTAAAGGATAACATAGAAAACCTCATTATGACAGTGTAAACTTGAATTTGGATTTTACTCA